ACACTATGCGAAACGTAGAAAAGAGTATCTCGCTCTAGAAAGCAGTCCAGGGGTTGATTAAAAGTTAAAACTGTTTATTCTAGGCATCATAAATAAAAATTAAATTGTAATATCTGTGTATCTTTATAACAAACATAAGTACCATGACATCATACTTATAATAATATAGTGTTCATAAGTATTTGCGAATTTCTGAAGGACGCTTATCACCGGCGCGAGGGTGCGTATTATGTGAGGTCACGTCTGGGCCATGCCGGCCATGGCGGGCGTATCGTCTTGTAACTTTTATAATATTAATTGAAAAACACATGTTGCTAGGATATTATAAGAGAATGTTCTTACATACTTTAGTAAATGAGTATTAAATGTGTGCATCATTGTCATGTTAGCCACAAGACGTCGATCAGATTTGTGCATAATAGAATTAGGAAGAAATTAATAAAAAAAAATATGTTGTTGTGGCCCGGAGGTCTAAGACGCCCGCGTCGTATGCATGAGACTGTGGGTTTGAAACCTAGCAACGGCAAATACCAATTTGACTTCTTCCAAGTTATATATCTACATTCTTAGATTATTCAGACACAACTGACATACGATAGAATAACATCATGAGGAAACTTAGGCTTTCCAATAATAAAATTTAAATAGACAACCTGCATTGAGGAAGCGAGACGAATTACGACTTCTCATCGTAAGTAGAGATCGTTGTACAGCAGTGACCACTTATAGACTGTTGATGAAATAATGACTAAAAAAATGTAAATCTAGTATTTCTGTATAGGCCCTTTCCAGCCTCCTAAACCCTGTCCCCAGATGGAAAAATCATACCATATTTTTTTGTCATGATGTATGAAGAAGGTTACCTTCACTTAGAACAAAAAGACTAATCATTGTAAAAAAACCAAATACTTAACCTCAAAAATGGACCCTAACAAGACCTAAATACAGTATCTTATCGCAGGACATTTGTAAAATCCCTAAATAGTGCACAGAGTCGCTTCCATTCGGGTAAACACGACATTATTTTGCTTAATAAAGTGAAAATTAGGTCGGGAGGGGGAAGGGGAGTGAGGGGAGGTGAGGAGGGGGGGATAATGTCTGACTCGGGATGATAATCAACCGATATTAACTGCTACTTGAGTGAGCTCTTACATTTTTATTCTTTAGGGGTGGGTTTCTATGCTGCGATTGTTTGTTGCGATTTGTCGCTATAATTTTTCAAGTTGAAAGGGTTTAGGCAAATTTGTTAATATAAATACATACAAGTTTGTGTCAATTATATTTATTTTATTAATGCCACATGGGAATCGTAAGTACAAAAATAAATAAGCTTTGTACGGAATAATTCGGTCTCAAATATGTTTAGCGCATCACCGCATATACCACAGAATAACAAATACATAAAACATGTAATTTCATGTTGTGCATTGACATCTGTACAATTTTAGTTTTATATTAAAAATCGCAACAGTGGAACCCCAGGGTTGTCACAAGTCGCCAGCGACATTACCATGTTGTAGATATTTGCATACATTAGCCGACATTTGAGGACAGCCCTAATAAAACCATTGTCTTGCCAACGCTACCCAATCCCAACCTCTTTACCCTGTATCTCGATATTTAATGATAAATCGTATGAATTCAAAATATTTGTACAGTTACAATATAAATAAATAACTATTTGTATTAACTTAAGGTGCAATATTGCTTGGATGGATAAATTAATTTTTCGAAGTGTAAATGTTTACGTAGAGGTCTACGTAGCCGTAGCGCTACGTCGGTGCTACGGCGTAGCATCGTAGCACATAAATAAATGTTAGCGTTTCTTTAATTTAAAATTACAATATCGTGTATTTGTTTTTAAAAAAGAAATTGTATGAAAAGAACCAGTAACATATCGCTTGTTATGTTAGAAGGGGCAGGCAGAGCTGTGGGTTCTTTAAGTAAGTAAATTCATTTTTGAAAACATTGCATATAGGCTATGACTTTAAAACCGAAATTAAAAAGGTATAATGATGCTAAATTAGACCATGACATGATCCTTTTTAGCGAGACAAGGATTATATAACAAAAATCCCAACCTATCCCAAAAACTAACACCAATTAACATAAAGCAGCCAAAGTCAGGGTATAGACAATAGTAACTCTGTGTCGAGTCATAATTCATGAGGTTTTAACTGTAACAGTCAGGTTAGTTAATCTTTATAACCTTTTACATGGAGCTCAGCTCTTAATACTTCCGCATCTAATTATGGCAGCGGTGGAAGATCGCGCGTGGGCCTGCGCCTGACATTTTGTATTTATTATTAATTCTGCCAGCTACCAGACTGTAACTATGGTCAAATGGTTTAGAGTAAAGGCTGAGTAAAGGGTTCTTCGTGTTGATGTCTAGATTGAGTTGAGTATTGTTGACAATTCACGAATATTGGGATCTCAGTAGAAGAAAGTGTTCTGTCTAGTGTTTTTGTGTGGGCTGGATTTTCTATTATCTAGCGATTTATAATATAACTGTCAAAAGTAAGTGACATAATAAAAACATGCTGCATCTTTGATTGTTGATTCGGGGATTAAAGGGCGTGTTGATTTGTTATAAAACGTTTACAATCCATAAAAACGTGAGAACTGGTATTCAGTTCCAATCGGAGGTCACCTAACCTTGGTTAATACCTTAGTTAAATAATTTGTAGTCATTGGTCTGGATAGGCGAACTCGTATCAATTTTAAGAACGCTTCTGTCCAAACGCCACTGAATTATACGCGCTTGAGTAGTTCTGTCACTACAAATTCTTTGTAAAATGACAGAGATAGCACGATATTTAAGTACAATTTAAAATTGAGTAGTATTTCAGTATTCGTTTATGCGTTCGTCTCTGTAAAATGTACTAAGTATAAAATGATTTAGTACCTGATCTGAGAAATATCATCTGATTCACCACTAATAAGGTTTGCGAAGTTTGCACTTCATCATATACATTACGTAGTTAAAAGCCAGTCAAAACTACTTGGAAACATCGATTAGGCACATATAATAATGAAACATATTTGAAAGCGTCCTAAAATAAATTTAAGATTATTGTAGGAAAACTGAGATTCTCTGAAAGGTGTTTCATTCACTGAACTCAAAGAAACTTAGTGATATGTAAACAAGGAAATATTTTGGTTTAATATAAGTTTCTGAGACCTTTTTTTTCTAGAAATGTGTAAACTGTCAAACAGTTTTGAAGTGTTCCATGTGTGCAAATACGGAATTTAAGGATTGAAATCAGTATTTCTTACAGTCTTACAGTTTATTTTTTTCGTTTGTTGAGGCATGAATCAGTAGTTTATGTTAATTTAAGGATATGCAAGATTGTCTCGAGCCACACACGCTGTATTATATGTATGCATTATCTATAAATTAGAGAAAATATTTCTATCACTACGCATTGTGGATGCCTAACTAACTAACGTCCCGGTTTTATCGATCGTTAAACCGACACAAAAATAATAAAAAATAAATATATACAGCCGTGGGACACGTCGCGCTGCCAACGTTTACATCCTACTAATTATACCGTGCTTGTTTTACTAGTGCTTTGTTTATGCGCACGCGCATCTCTGTTGCGACACTGGTTTAAAACAGTTTATAGGTGAATTTATTGCACTAATAATGTTTTTGTAAATTGACGTCTGAAATTCGTCAGAAAAGCTATTTTTCACTCAGCCAGCCACTAAATCTATTTCAGTAACAATACAATGCTTTATTTTAAAACCTTGGACGAGTTTATGACAGCGGAAATATTTACATGTCATCGGACTGTCAGAAACTGTGTAAGAGTGAGTGTTAATTTCAGCAGCGACACTTCTATCTAGATATGTCAACGAGCTGAACATGTTAAGGCAGATCACTACAGCTAAGACTCACCTGAAAAAATAGGCAAAAACACACCCATTGGTAGTACTTGTATATCTTCCTGTCGCTCATATCTTCCTTCCCTTTCTCGCGGCTGTTGCCGATGCCAGGGTAGGGCACCTCGACGCCCACCTTCTTGTTGAAGAAGCTCCGCAGCGTATAGGTGGAGTGTATCCAGCAGTAGGTGTTGAGTACGTCTTCGGGGATGTCCTTGGTGTGGATGCAGTCGATCGGGTTGCCGACGTACTGCCTCGTGGTCACGATCAAACTGAACGAGATCAGCAGGATGACGGTGATGGAGTAGTGCAGACGGAATACCGGCGAGTCGATGTGGACATAGTTCACTTTAATGAGATTCTTCAATCCACGAAACACGTCTAACATCTTAAACGTTTAACCTGATCATCCGTGTGTCTGTGTTCACTAACATTATTTATTGTTTCGAAGCACCAAGATTACACTATTTATAACGTAAGGCACTGTTTAGTTTGGCAGTGAGATTGTCCCGGGTCATGCCACTGCGCGCGTCCTCTCACTCTCACGTCGCTCTAACTTGTTCGGTATCTTGATGAACTTGAGCAGTGACAGCGCTTGGCTCATGTTTTCTTCGTTTCATGGTGTGGCGAGTGCGTGCGCGCGCGCGGCCGCCATGCCGGCATCGCGCCCCGCTCATCCAGCGGCCGATGACGCCGCGCTGCGTAACGCTTAGGAAATTAATCTTCTACGAATTAACGTAAACTAGATTACCAGGTCAGATGTTCTAGTACAAATTTATGAGTTCACACGTCGTCGATCCGCCGGAGCACCCGCGTCTCGGCCGCGCCGCACCCGTGTGCTAATCGGTGTAGGAAACTGATGAAAAATATTTAAATTATGATCCTAAATACAGCCAGTGTATTCCCTGCGGCTTAATTTATGCGTCGCTGTGAGTCAGAGGCGAGAGGTGCAGGAGAGCGGTGCTACTGGGAGTGACTAACCGCAATATTATGATAACTGTAGTAGTTAACGAGCGCGCACCTCGTGCGAGTTATATCGACATTAGATATTTATTAGTGCTGCTAGTACCCGAGCCGACGTAAGCTCCGAATGCAATCACCGCGCGACTGTAAGGCGGGCTCTATATATTTATTGTGTTCACGAATCCCTTCATTGTGGGATATTTTAAACAACAATGACAATCTTTAGGAGAGTATCACGTGTTTCTGAGAATTCTATTTCTCGAGTCGAGACAATTTATGGGCCAGTGCTGGTTCAAGGCCCGGTTTGTCACAAAGTGTGCCACGCGCCGATGTTTCTGTTAAATTGTGCTAATATTTACACGTAAGATTTTAAGAGCTCCTTTGAAATATTATATTTAGTAGCCATTGTTTGAGATGATTCAGCTCTTGTCTCAGGGCCGTTTGGCTTTTAACCGACCGGACTTAAATGATGACAACTATTTCCTCGTTATTTTAGATCAAAGGCGAAATATTTACTTTTGTGGTTCAACTCTAACGTAATTGTTTAAATATATGTATACTACAATAAAAATACTAGGTAAACCTTTTTGCAACCAAGACAATGAAACCACAAACAACATGACGTACAATTGCGCGCGAAATGAAGTTGTCACACAAACGTTTCATGACTTTTAAATCGTTATTAATCTGTGTAAGTCGGATAAGCCTCTTATGAGCCATGTGTTTTACGACGGATTTGTTTTAAAATACAATATTCATTACAGGCTATAGAATAACATGTAATATGTTATAAAGAACAAAGCATATCATGTTGGTTGCACTTAAAAGCTCAGAGAATACATCAAAGGATTACAGAGGGCCGGCTCAAGAGTAATTTATCAATATCTTACTAATCGTTGTATTTGTAACTTTGTATGTATCTATTCTCAAACTCGGAGATACTAAAATTACGCTTTCTTTTAATAGACTGTGATAAAAGAATAGCAAATTTTCTGTATACATAATGTGTGATTAGGTATCGTTTAGGTATTTTTTAAAACGTTGCTTTACACTTAGATTTTTTCCTGTGTCGTGGGTGCGTTTACTAACATACAAGTTCACATACACATCGCACAGACTCGGAACAACAATCTGTGGATCACACATAGAGTTGTTCCGTGCGGGAATCGAACCCGCAACACGTTGCGCGGTAGCCAGTTGCCCAGCCACCGCACCAATCGTGTAACGATCAGTGTAACGTAAATGTCTATTGTCGTCATTTAACAAATTAATTATATATCTACCTAACCTATGATGATGATTTCTATGAAAGTACCATGATTGGCATAAAACCTATCAAAGCACGATTTGTTTTATAGTTTTCCTATCTTATACTATTATATACATAAAGCGGAAGAGTTTGTTTGTTTGAACGCGCTAATCTTCGTAACTACAAGTCTGATTTGAATAATTATTTTTGTGTTAGATAGCGCATTTATCGAGGATGGCTATAGGCTATAAAACATCACGCTACGACCAATAGGAGCTGAGCAGAGCGTGTGAAACCGCGTGGAAGTAGCTAGTTTCATTAAGTATTTAATTGACATTAAGAAACCCACCTACTAGGTAAGAAGTACTAACTACCTACCTAAGGAGTTTAAATTATGCCCGATGCAATAAACTGTGTTACAACAGGAATAACAATATTTTTTCGTTCAAAACTTATTTACATACGTAAGAGAAGGAACCAAGCAGTATTACATACCTATATTAGTTTTATTTTCTGTGTGAGAGCACACGTATCTTGTGAATGTTTGGGTTGCCAACATTTTGTATTTCACGTTGTATGCAATTCATATTGCGGATATGAAAGTTTTTATATATTTTTTTAAGTATAAAAAGATTTAAAGAGCTTTGTCTTGCATGTAATTATAGTTGGTGCATCAAATACGTTTTAGGGATTTCAATATTTCTGCCATATGATAACGATATTATTTTAACGAGTCACTCATAAATTATATTAAGACACATGGCAGCCAATCACTCAAATTAAATTAATTGCAATAATTAAAAATAATTTTACAGTTAACAGCCGGAGATAATTACAAAGATTTATCGATTGCTAATCTGACAATAAAATAATATTGCCATAATAAATAAAAGCAGAGACAAACTATTTGTCAAAATTAAGCGGTTGAAATCTGGCAATCTTGTAGGGTTGCCAGCTCTTTTTTTTGGGATCGTGAATTATGTATCACACGCCGCATCCTTAGCTGTTTGGCAAAGAAAAAGCTGCCAAGTGTAACGTATGTACTTAAATATTTCCCATGCCTTGTATTCCTGACTCGCGCTACTATTTTTAACATTTCTTACAAAAATATCTATGTATTGTCTTGCTTATGTTAATGTATATTTTTGTCTTTGAATACTTCAATTTTTTAAATCAAAAGATATATTTAGGTTCAGCGATCTATGGACCAACTTAGGTACAGTGGCCACCAGATCAATCAACTCCAATCTGTACAATGCATTTATTGGATTTTAGACTTTATGTCAATATAATAAAGTTAAAGATGTAATAGAGTTTGCCAGAAAAGGATAGGTTTATTTTTCTTCTATTACTTTTCTTAAACAAATGTTGCCCCACACTAGGATTTTCTACAAGTTCACATATACATGACACCCAGATCCGGAAAAACAATTTGTGGATCACACAAAGAGTTGCTCCATGCGGGAATCGAACCCGCGACACGTTGTGTGGTAGACGGTGGCCCAGCCAATAAGGGTGCTGTTAAAAAAAAATTTTTTTTCACAGTGTTAATATCCATTTCAAAAGATTATGCATCTACCTATGTCTTCTTGACAATATTATTAATGAACTAACATGCCCTTTTGTCTCCTAAACCATAGTACAGTCCAATGATGCGTGTTACTGCACCCACTGACATTCCCATATACCATGGGTCATAAGGCAATAATGCTTTCAACCATGGGAATCATGGGATAAATTGGACAATCGAAATAAAATTGAAAATTGCCTAATAGAATGTTCTTTCCTATCGTCATAAATGTTATTCTACGAAGTTTTGAGTAGCAACGGAGTTACAATGCACAAAGATTTCGTCACTTTTGTTATTATTATAATTTTATATATTGAAAGGCAAGCGTATTACTATTACCAGGCTTAATTTTGATTCGGAGCATTTACTAATATTTTCAAAATCAAATAACTCTATAGTACTTTACTCGACTGCCTCGTTGGCCGAGTGGTCGCAAGGGATCTCGGGTTCGATTCCCAGGTCGGGTGAAGTATTACTGGATTTTTAAAAACAAAAATTCTCAGTAATAGCACGGAGTCTGGAATTGTGCCCGGTATATGGCAATAGGCTCTGTTGCTATTACATGCGGCTCATAACATAAATAGTGAAAAGTATGTTACATTGTACAATGACATTTATGTGCACCTCTACCTACCCATTCGGGGATAAAAGGCGTGATGTTATGTTACTTTACTCGAGACGACAAACCAGAGACAGTCGAACTTAAGACCGCTTAATCAACTACTATACTTAAAAATCATTTACAATTGAACCAACGGTACTCCAAGCTTCCATCCAAAACGCAATAAAAATAACGTCAGATTGCCTATAAACTGTAAATTGATACACATCAGAATTTAAATGTACTAAAATAATTTATACTGTGGCAACCCTGGCCGCCCATTAACGATCTCCTTAATTTACGACGCCTATTCAAAGGAACGTTGTTCCGCTCACCATATTATTATTTTTTTAATTTTCCTCTGTTTTACTTAACTGTGTTAATTTCGTATATTTTTGTATTACGAATCGATTTTGGGTCAAGGACGGGCTAACTACGGCAGGAAACGGACGCAAGCGCATAATTACGAGAATTATGCGTTCGGGAAGTTTCGGCAATGTTCGGATGTCGTATCGGTTAGGTATGTGATTTATTTTTTTTATGTCGGATGTGTGTAGGTCAGATATATTACATATTATGAATTATATCCTATTGAAAATGATAATTAGGACCAGTTTAATAATTTTAGTTGATTTTATGTTATTTTTTGAGAACCCAGATTGAAAAGTTTTGAATTACGATCCATTTATTATTAAGACTGCCTCTTTGGCCGAGTTGTCGCAAGTGCGACTGCCGAGAAAGAGGTCTCGGGTTCGATTCCCGGGTCGGACAAAGTATTACTGGGTTTTAAAAAAAATCTCAATAGTAGCACGGAGTCTGGAATTGTGACCAGTATATGCCATACATACTCGTAACATAAATAGTGAAAAGTGGATGTTACATTGTACAGTAGAATATGAATGTGCACCTCTACCTACCTCTTCGGGGATAAAAGACGTGATGTTATGTTATGTCATTAATAAGAATTTCGAAAACATCAAGCAAGGTTGACAAATTGAATACCTGGCAAGAGCATATAACATAAATTTACCTTAAAAATATGCACAGATATTTTAGATCTTTCATTGTACAACAAAATATCTACTCCAAAATCAAAACCAAACACAAGATTTAACCCTTGAATGTACTAAAAACAAAAAAAATTAAGTAAATGAAAGAAAACTGGCAAGTACAGTTTCATACATTAGTCGCTGCCAGCTCCAGACTACAGCGAAGTGAAGCTGAGAGATAAAAGATCAGCTACTTAATTAGTTAATTAGTGAAACTCCTCATTCATCTGTTTTACACAATGCCAGGCAGATCATTAAAGAATGATGACAGTGACGGTATAATGACTGACTGACTGTAAATGCAGTTTGTTTATATTAAGTAGGTACCTATAACTTAGCAGCAGTAGCAAAGCGACAGTCACATGCTGCTCATGAATATGAGCCTCTAGCATGGCTTGAAACTACTCCTCGAAGTAGTTCCTCA